GCAACTCTGTCTCTGTCAGGAACACAGTTGCTCTCTCTCTTTTGTTCAGATGGAACCAAGGATGTCCCCATTTGCGAATTACAGGGATGTGTACGTCACCCTGGACTAGCTCATCTGTGGTGTTGTTAAAGTAGACCTTTAACCTGTCCATGTCTGCAAGGCACAATAAGAATGGTGTAGGTGCGTCAAGCACCTCAAAGTTGATCGTCCCAATGTCTGTAGAGACCTGTGCAGTGCCAATAGATGATGTAGCCTCGCCCTTGCCGAATTTGATAGATGCCTTTCCTGCTGTAGACGTATCCATCCTAACTGTAGGATCTTCCCTTGTGAGTGCAAGGTACTGCTCCTTGCCAACTGTGGATACGTTGGCAGCGCCTGTATCCGGTAGGATCCCTTGGTACACAGATCTTGTGTAGCGGTCTTCAAGCAGGAACTGTGACGCTGGCGCTGATGGCGCGTCTTGGCGGTATACGTCGTCGCCAGAGATGTGGTGCAAGAACGCCTGATCTGCAAGGCATTGCTCCGTGAAAAACTGCTGTTCAAGGTATGCTTCCGCGACGTCGTCATCGTCGTCATCCTCGCAGTCTTCCTCCTCTCTCCATCCTCTCTGATTGTACTGGCTAGTGTGCTCGATCCCTTCGTATTCTGCAAGATGTACGGAGAAGTCCTTGGGGGGCTGTGTACCTGTAAAGTATAGCGTAGAGAAGAACTGTGTACGGGCAGCCTTGCGCTCTTCGTCTGTGTGGTTGGTAGACCAGCATCCTTCCTTCTGGCAAACAAAGCATTTCTTCCTCCAGCGAGGCTTAAATCCTCGTCCGTTGTCGTCGCGCTGCTCGCCTCCTCGATATGCTCCTCTAGATCCGCCTCTGAATCCTCCTCCACCTCGAGATCTACCTCGGATTCTTCCATTGCCGTTGTATCGGCGATCTAAGTAGTATTGGTCCTCTGTGACCATCTGGGTAGTGTGTTGCCGTGCAAGGTGTGTCTCAACTGCAGAACGTAGGTCTGAGAAGAGTCCTTCACAGATTGTGGCTGGTTTGAACAGTGCCATCTCAAGCTCTGGTACTCCTCGGCAGGCATTGATGACAGTGGTACGTAGGGCATCCTCGCCCTCAAAGTTCTTGCCAAGGGCACGCTGGCATAGCTGCAGCTTGTCAAGCAGGATCTGCAGAACCTCGTGTAGTCCCTTGTCGGGGTTCTCTGTGCGGGTGCGAGCGAAGGTTGTAGTCGTCCAGTCTGTGTAGTAGTGCTGGTGATGGACGTCATGGTCGAAGTGGTTTTTGATTGCCATGTACGCATCAGCAAAGCTGTCATCTCTCTCTACAACCTGTATGTAGAATGTCTCTGCACGTCCGGTAAGGATACGGGGAAACACTGCGTGAAACTGCTCTTCTTGGATATCTACCTGCCAGCAGATGCTGAAGAAGATCTTGATCTTATCGTCTAGGAGATCGTACGCATTCCCTGTATACTTGTTGCTATTGTCCCATAGCTTAGAGAACTGCGTGATCGTATTAGCGTCGAGTCGATCGTTGCGGGACCATCGCGGCGGTAGCGTCTTGTACGGGTCGTATGGTAGTTCGGGTGGTCTGTTAGGGACGCGGTTCGTTGGCTGTTGCGGAAATGGCGTGACTTCGCGATATGCAGTCGCTGGCGGCCGTGTCTGTAGTTGCGCACGCCCTTGTTGCGGCTGCGCGGCCTGCTCCCACAGTTGTCGATGCTGAGGCCCTTCTAGCGTACCGCTCATGTGTAGCGGCTGTTGTGGCTCTATTGTTTGGGAACGGCTCTGGACGCCTTGTCTCACTCTATACTGCTCTTGTTGCTCGCCCTGCGACGGTCGTTGTAATTGCGACGGCTGTGGTACTTGCGGTGGCTGTTGTAATTGCGGCGGTTGTTGTAATTGCGGCGGTTGTTGTACTTGCGGTGGTTGTTGTACAGCTGGATAGACTGTGTGCTGAGTGTCCTGTTGGCGTTTATTGCTCTGCTGGCGCTGGTACGCTTCGGACTGTTGGTCGAATTTCATGGCTCGAAACTCTGCTGGTTCCCATTCAAGAGTATTCTCTATACCTAGAATGTTGTAGAGAGAGTCCGCCACCCTGGCGTGATTGTTGCCAGTGTATACTCCCCGGTGTCGTAGCACACTCTTAAGAGACCTTAGTGTACCACGCTCAACCTTGCTAAATAGCTCCTTCGTCCATCCTTCAAAGTCCCATTTGTAGTCAATGAAGAGGTCATCGTCCCAGGCCATTGACACATTGTAGTCGTGGATAGCTTTAGCGACCCACGTTGTTGCGTGTGTCTCATTTGCGTCCGCCGGTGCGGGTACACCCCAGAGAGCTGTATTGATGACCTTGAGTGCACTGTGTATGGAACAGTTTCCATTAGTGTCGCGTAAATTTGGGCCCATGGTGAGTCTAAGAGGTGTCCTGATGCTCATTCTGTAGTTGATTCTGAGCTTCAGCAGAGTCTGCAGAGCTTATTTCGCTTTGGTTATCCGCCATCTTGCTAGCGGGTGTTGACGCGTTGTCGGTGTTGTTGTCTCGCTGGTTGGTCGTGCCAGCGCTTGTTGTTGTACGTGATCGGATCGTCCGGAGACGCTCGTACGGTTGAGTTGTATTGCGTTGCTGACGCGCTCTGTGTTCGCGGATTAAGCTAAACCAGCAGCTGTAGAGGGAGGTTAAGAGTGCTTTGTGTTATCTCTGCCTCGCTCTGTTCTTAGCACAGAATCTTCTCCCGGGAGTATAACGTCGTGCGTCAGGGAGTTCGTCGAAGATGCGGTCTGTCTCTTCTACCTTGCTGTCTGTGATCGCCTTAAGCAATCACTGATCAGTGTTGGAAGGTCTATAGCACTAGTGCTGAAAGGAAATAACGATAACTAGGAATGCATTCTGTTCGGTGATGGTGATTTATTTATGAACACAGCTGCTACGAAGGTATACCTAAGCTCTGCGCAAGGTGGGCCGAAGTCGGGCCGAAGTGTCCAGCAGCCGACGTCTCTACCGATACTCACGATCCGACACATGGGCTTTATTAGATAAGAAGAGTTTGAATTGGATAATGTATAAGACCTTGATTTGCGAAGTTGAAATTTTTTTTAAATTAAATACATAGTCTGTTGGAAGGCCTTGTACGATCGTACGGTGAATAACAGTAGCTAAGGTAATCTTGTGTATTGGTATTCTGGTGTATGATGATTCTACGAATGTGGGGGCTACGAAGGTATACATAGCGTTGGGTCCGAGTTAGGCCGAAGTAGGATCGAGGCGGTACATTAGGCCTCATTAGGCGACACACCGTGTGTATGCCGACATAGTCAGTTAATACTACAATTTCTACAAAATCACTATGGACTGCCTGGTTAAATATACCGTCTAAATATATCTGAATATTGCATATTATACCTTTTCCTGCTGGTTGGCTTTGCAATAAGTGCGTAAAGGGAAATAACGATAACTAGGAATGCATTCTGTGTGGTTGTTCTGATTGATTGTCTTGCGAAGGAGAACTATGGAAGAGCTAGATATAGGAGGTCTGGTCTGAGCGCTGCTCGGACGCCGCGATCAGTGCGCCTGCTCGCGTGACCGAGATCAGTGCGGCCGATCGCGTGGCTGAGATATCGTTGATATCTGTGATCCGACATTTCCCTTTCTATCCTATCTTACCCTGATATTTGTCTCCCAAACCCCCGTTTTTCTCATACTCGGTCATTTTCCTTAAAGACAATAATGAAATATCCACACCCACACAGACGAAACGATGTATTCGTCCCATACACCGGATTGTGAGGATCTAATATCTTTCTATTCATTCCCGTCACTGTGAGTTTTCAACTTCAAATCGGTGAAGATGTTTGCATATTCGCATATGTGGAGAAGAACCAAGTCACGCGTCATCAATCCCAAGCTTATACATCTTCCACAACCTACCACCCCCATCAAAATCCAGACACAGCTACCAGAGCAGCAGCAACGGTAACACAAACCCCCAGCACCAAACCCTCCAGCATTGCCGAACCTAGACACTCGCACATAACCGAGACAGTGCAAAACATCTAGCCGTAGCCAAACCCCCGGAGCTCTCTTACGACAGTCAAGCCCGGTGAACTATTCCGCTCCTATAAAAAATACACAATTATCAATACACCTACTTGAAAGGTCAATGACATATGTACCTTACTGCCGGGCACATGGTTCCATCACCCGGCTGAAGTTGCCGACGTACCCACGCTCCAAACCCGAAGTTCTGGGTTCCTAGCATGCTCTCAACGTAACCGACTTGGCTATCTTCCGAACGAACCCGAGGACTGGGGATTGAAACCACCTTGGCACTGTTCCGTTACATGGCGTCTCTGGGGGCTCGGAGCAAAATGCATAAGTGTGAATAACACCTACTCGATAGGGCAGTGAGCTGGGAAAGCTTGCGAGAAGTAGCTTGCTGTATCCATACTGTAGGGTTGACACTGTGAGGTAGGCGACTTAACCCACGCGCGGGACCCAAAGACTTGGGGTTGAAACGTGGTGCTGTACCCTGGAGCATAGAGTAGATGTAGTCGCACCTAGGTATCATAAAATACTTGACAGTGTGGGTAAGCACCTAATAGGCGTGTCTGGCGAATACAGTGGCCCTTTTACACTAGTGTTTCAAGTATTTCAAGACACCTAGGTGGTAGTGTGAATACGGGTTGTTGATAGGACAGTGATAGGTCAGTGATGTGCATATCATTACTGCTGGGCTGCTCGTTACATCAACCGCTTCAACTTCGCCGACTTACCCGCACTCAAAATCCGACGTCTTGGAATTAAACCACCATGCTTTTGTTCCGTTACGCGCTGCACCCAGCAGTTTGGATATCTCCGCTGCGAAGTAATGCGTAAACAGCGGTTCCTTGCAGCATTTGAGGAGAAGGATGCGGATGCGAATGCGAATGTGCAAGGGAGGAGTTGGGGACATACAACCTCGGCATCTTCCTTATAAAGAGAAGATGTGCTGCTGAGCCGTGATGGCGGGACGAGGGAAACAGGGCAGAGTTTGGAAACTCGACGTGTGAGAGGGAGATGATAAGGCAGGATTCCGATGGTAGGACATATGTACATCACGTTAGGCAATTGCTGACTGCGGATATGGATTAGTGGATGCGACTCGCACCAGGGTCCCTGTTCAGGCAATTGTCCACGACGTTACCTCTTCCCTCCCCTTCCCCTACCTCCCTTGCCGCCCTTTTTCCCACCTCGACCCCCACCACCACCCCCAGTAATATTTCTAACATCTTCCCGACTCAAACTCAACGTACCACCCCTAAACTTGCCCACACTAGGCCCACCCACGCCCCTCTCCCTCCTCTCCCCACCCTTCTTCCCGGCTCCCGAGCCTCCCCTACTCTCCCTCTCCAGCACGATACCCGCTTCCCGAGCCTCGCTCCTCCGCTTCTCCTCGCCTAATCTCGCCTTTTGCACCATGTGTTTCCGCTGCGCCATGGGCATGTTCTTCTGCGCGAAAACCGAGCCTTTGGCACCGAGGGATTGCAGATGCAGGTCTGTGGATTTGTGGCGTGCGGCACCTGTGGCAGTGAGGGAGCGCGTGGGGTTTGAGGCGCTGGAGGAGAGAATGTGGGATTCTCGGAGGAGTTTTTGAAGTGCGAGGTCGTTTTTTAGGAGGGAGGCTTCTGTTGTGTCGTCGTCATCGGTCTTCTTCTTTTTGGATGAGGTGGGTTTGGAGGTGATGGTGGATGTGGAGGTTGGTGGTTTGGATGACATGAAGGCTTTCTTTTCGGCGCGTTCTGTGTCGCTGAGGTCATGGCGGGCGTCTTCGTAGGATATTACTTGTACGCCATTCTTCTCGTCGTCGCTTATGCCTGACCAATCTGATTCTTCGTCTTCTGACCCTTCTTCCTCTTCTTGTGCGGGTGACTCCTCGATCTTGGGTTTCTTGTCTTCGACGGGGAGAGGGGCGAATTTTGCCTCAAAGGCGCGCCGGAATATGGCTTGAAGATCTTCTGCGCCGGAGTCGTCATGGCTAACATTCGACGAGGGAGATTCCGATCGCGATGGTCGCTCGAGTTCAGCGCGTGTTACACGTTTCCGTTTTCCAAGTGTGGGTGCCATTGTGAGTGCCGCGTTCGTCGTGCGTTATTCGTCGTCGGCATCGAGCTCGTTGTCGCAAAAAGCTTCCCCGATGCCAAAAAGTTCGCGCGCCCGACGTAACAAATCTCTAGTTAGCGTCAAATCATCCCTCCCGCGACTCGGACCTCCGTCTTCCATCACCCCTCCCCCGCAACCACAACAATCACTCCACCCCCAATTGAACGTTACCATGACGCGCTTTCGTCCTTGTATAGATCTGCACGCCGGCAGCGTCAAACAAATTGTCGGCGGCACCCTCAACACCACAACACCTGACATCCTCCAAACAAACTGGACATCCTCGCACCCTTCAGCCTTCTACGCAGACCTCTACAAAAAACACGCCCTAACCGGCGCACACGTAATAATGCTGGGTCCTGGAAACGACGCCGCAGCCCAAGAAGCGCTGGCAGCATGGCCAGGCGGCATGCAAGTAGGCGGCGGCATTACCGACAAGAATGCAGCCGAGTGGATAGCCCGAGGAGCGGAGAAGGTGAGCTTTCCCCTTGACACGAGACGGCGCATGAGATACAAAAGGCTGACGTAAAAGGCGTAGTAGGTAATAATAACCTCATACCTCTTCCCCGACTCAACCTTCTCGCAAGACCGCCTCCGTGCCGTCCTCGCCGCCCTAGACAGCGACGTACAGAAACTCGTCGTCGATCTGTCGTGTCGCAGGAAAGACGAGAAATGGTTCGTGGCGACGAATAAGTGGCAGACAATTACCGATTTTGAGTTGAATAAAGGTAAGAAACTCAACGAACTGCTCTCACTACCTGGTTTTGGGCAGAAGCTGATTCGTACATGTGTACACACAGACTCCATAGCCCTCCTGGAACCACACTGCAGCGAATTCCTCATCCACGCCGCCGACGTCGAAGGTCTCCAGCGCGGCATCGATCATGAGTTAGTTGAGAAACTGGCGGAGTGGTGTAGCATACCCGTCACATACGCAGGTGGTGGTCGCTCAATCGAGGACCTAGAGTTGGTTAAGAAGCTGAGCAAAGGCAAGGTGGATCTCACCATTGGCAGTGCCCTAGACATTTTCGGTGGTTCAGCCGTCAAGTTTGAAGAATGTGTAAAGTGGAATGCTGAGCAATCATAAAACCGGGCTTGCATGGAAATCTATCACTAGATACATGTTCAGTCCAACAGTAACAGATAACTAACCGACAAATACACGCAACGAACAGACATGTTCATGAAGCAAAGTATTTTTTATATTCTCAGTTCCCCATGACAAAGAACCAAATCTCAAACCTGTTCTCTCATTCAAGCTACAGAAAAGAGAGAGAGAGAGAGAGCTAGCTTAGACTACAGCGAGAATAGCCCAATCCATGCATGCATTCACACACATAGGCACAAAAACTCCCAAACCCCAGAAACATTCATGTTACTCAATCAAGCGTAAAGTAAGCAAAAGAAAAGCTTCCTCTGCCCAAGAGCAGCCTTCCAATGAGGGTCCCCCAGAGAAAAGAAAAGAAGAAAAATGCCAGAAACACCGATCCGTTTCTTTCCAGTCTTGTTTGTGTGTGTTCAAAATTGTACAGTTGAGGGAGGGCAGGGAGCCAAAAACGGATAAACGACATGTGGAGAAGGGTAGGTAGGTGGGTGTAAAAGAGGGGGACCGAGACCCAGAGCTGGCGTCCCGTCCGTCAATCACGCAGTTATGCTTTTTATTTCCTAGGCGAGCAAAGTTAGTTTGCAAATTCGATTGAAAATATTACAAAAGTTGGTTCTGAGTGGAACATACACTTTCTTCAAAGACCACCCCGCGGTGTACCGACCGCACTCGTCATAGCCGTGCTAGCACCACCATGTACACTACCACCATCGTCGTAATCTTGCCACTCAGGAAACTCTGCCGTAGCTTCCCTAAGCTTGTCGAGCGCAGTCTGCTCAATGAGGTTGGCGTCCGCAAAGAGCAGGGAAGTGTCCTCGTTGTATGTACGGCAGTTGTTGCATAGTAAGCCCAGATCTTGGCGGAACTGCTTGACCGACTGGTACTCCTTCTTGTTGATCTTCTTCTCGATTTGCTTCATGCAGATGGGGTTCTTGATCAGCTGGTAGTAGTCTGGGTAGTCCCACTTGTCTGGTAGCTCGATGAAGGGGTCGATGATGCCCCGGTTCGGAATGTTGGGGTCCTGTGACTCTTCCTCGAGGTCATTGAGAGCTTCATAGACGATGTTAACAACCTTTTGAAGCGATGCTCGTTGATCTGGATGCAGCATGTCTTTGGTGGGTGCAGGCCGGCCACGTTTCCGTGGTGCGAGTTCAGCGTCGAGAGAGGCTTCATCAGCTTTACGCTTCTCCGCCTTCGGCTTGCGGCCTCGCTTCTTGGGCATCGGCTCCTCAGAGCTAGCGCGCGAAGGTACAGGCGAGTCCTCCTCGGGCCTACCACCGCTCTTCCTACCCCTCTTGGCAACCTTGGCTTCCTTGCGGGCGATAGCGGCTTCAATGGTGTCCTCGTCGTTGTCGACGGCCTCAAGCCACTGCTCCTCAGTAAGACCATCGTCATACTTGACCCGAGTACGCTCGCGAGCACCACGACCGGCAGGTGTGTCATCCTTCTCGTCGACAATAGGCGCCTCTTCGTTCAGGTAGATATCTGGCAGCTCACTCTCGCCGATCAAACGACCGAGAGGCTTACCAGGACCGTAAGGGTCTTCTGCTATCCGCTTGCGATCCATCTCTTGGAAGGTAACCAGCTCGTGGTCATGACGCATCATAATCTGGTTCAAGTCGTCATCGTCCATCTCCTCTTGCTCGAGACTCTCGGCCGCTTCAGCAGACTCCAACATGATTCGCAACATGGCATCTCGTTCGTCGTCCTTGGACTTGTTGTCGAATTTACCAGCTTGGATAACCTTGCCATCCATGTCAAGCTTGTAGTTGGCTCGCTCGAGAATCTTCTCTTCGACTGAGTTGGATGTGATGAGACGCAGAATGCGGACTTCGTTCTTCTGACCAATACGATGCGCACGATCCTGAGCTTGCAAATCCTGATGAGGATTCCAATCCGAGTCGTAAATGATAACAGTATCGGCGGTTTGGAGGTTCAGTCCAAGACCACCAGCACGCGTGGACAACAAGAAGCAGAAGTACGGTGAGTCGGGGGCATTGAAAAGCCGTAGAAGATCCGATCGGTCGTCTGCTTTGGTGGCTCCGTCCAGACGCAGATACATCATGCCTCGTAACCGTAGATAATCTTCCATAATGTTCATAATCTGAGTCATCTGGAAGAACATAAGGACACGATGACCGGTGGCCTGGAACTTGGGTAGAATTCGGTCGAGCAGTTCAAATTTGCCGGCCGCGCGCCATAGAAGATCGTTGGTACCCTTGGTTGGGTTCATGACATCCTCAACCTCTTCAAACACGAAAGGATGGTTGCACAGCTTTCGCAACTGCATCAACATGTTGCTCAAACCGCGCATACCAGTCTTTCCACCCTTGCCATCGCTGACCATGAGCCGGTTGTGAGTGACCAGTTGCTTGTACAACTTCGCCTGGAGGGTAGAGAAGTTGCACTTGATCACACGCTCAGTCTTGTCAGGAAGATCCTTCTCGACATCGCGCTTGAGACGTCGGAGCAAAAACGGCCTGAGCACTTTGTGAAGACGACGAATGACGAGCAACTGCTCTTCTTCAGTAAGCTCCATCTTATCTTGACCTCCAGTGTTTGCAAAAGGTGTGTTGAACCACTCGTCAAAGGATGTAGCTGACTTGAAGATGGTAGGGAGGACAAAGTTAAGCATAGCCCACAGTTCTGTCAGGTTGTTCTGGAGCGGCGTACCCGTCAGAATAAGACGATACCGTGTCGTGTAGTACTGTGTGATAGTCATGCTGAGCTTCGAGCCGGCGTTCTTCATACGGTGACCCTCGTCGACAATCATGTGTACCCACTTGATCTTGCTGAGAACCGGCCTGTCCTTGATGATGAATTCGTACGTGGTGAGCAGAACTTGGAACTGGCCCCAGCGGATCTGTTGCTGGTATTGCTTACGCGAGTTTGGAGGCCCCTTGTAGACGATCTTGGTGACGCTCGGCGCCCACTTTTCAAACTCGTTGGTCCAGTTGGTAAGTGTACTAAGCGGTACAATGACCAGGTAGGGTCCAGGCTGTCGCTTCTTTTCGATGAGGTACGTAATCAAACTGATGGTCTGGATGGTCTTTCCGAGACCCATCTCGTCGGCAAGAATACCGTTAAGGTTGTTGTTGTATAGCGATATCATCCACTGCAGACCCTTGAGTTGGTATTCTTTCAGAGTACCGCCAACCAGGTTGGATGCCTGCTGGGTGACCTCTTCCTTGACACGATGGGCAATCTCGTAGTAGTCGGTCTTCTTCTTGCCTGGCTTGTCTTCGTCGCCAGATTCGGCGTCGCTGGTTTCGCTCTCTGGCTCCGGCTCGTATGAGTTGTTTGCAGATCGCTGCTGTGCCTTGACGGAGTCGGCAAGTTGTTCAAGAAACCATCGGTCTGCTTGAGCAAATGTGAGATACGAGTGTCCTTGGCTTGGCCCAAAAGCTTGAGGTAAGTCTCTTCGTCGTTGGACTTGAGAGCCTGCAGACGTTGCTTGGCAGTACGCTCGATGCGCTTCTGCTCCTCCTTCTCGATGTTTTGGTGTGTCGTGATCATGAGACGACCAAGCTTCTGTAGACGGATGCGCTGAGCAGCACCAGCTTCTTGCAACTCTGTGCGGTGCTTCCTGATGGCATCGATGAACTCGTGTGCTTCTTCTTTCTCTTTGTCTCGCGCGCATCGGCGCTGCTGCTTCTCGAGCTTCTCAGTGAAGGCGGGCTTCGGCGCAATCGATTGCTTTTTCAGGC